TTAAATACACTTTTCCAGTCACACATCCAGACACTGCGCATAAGCATTCCTACAGAGATCCGTAAACAAAGGCGTATCCAGTCATATACACAATACACACATTTTATTACTTTGAGATTTTTCACAAGATACTCCATTCAGTAAAAACGTTAAAATTATTCGCAGATATCTCACAGGGATTTCCTCTCATTAACATACCTTTCTCGTCTTCAAACAGGCTTCAAACATTTGTATTCAGAAGCCGCTGTCACAGGGCGACAAACAAATACTTCTTATTATGATGATTGATGGTCATTAAAATGTTTAATAGGTGTTCTGCCCATTGTGTAAATGGGCAGAACACCTATTAAACATTTTAATCGGCGAGGTGTACTCGCCGATCACAATCTCATAAAGTAGGAAAATATAAGGCCGAATAAAATTCTTAACTTCATGGTGAACGATATGCCTTGAACATAATAGTCCAGCCAATGAGAGGTGAACATTTAGAGCTGTGTAAGATTCCACCATTACCTTTCGTTAATTGACATACTTTTGGCAATTCATTTTATGTAAATTAGAAGAGTGGCGGGTGCTATCGATAGAGTAGGACATGCTTACCCCTTTCACGAAAACCTGATCTTATCAATGATTTTAATGATCTATTCAATGATTTTAATGATCTATTCCTTTAATTTTCACCAGGGGCGGTGGGGTAGCCTAGTGGTTAAAGCGTTGGCTCGTCACGCCGAAGACCCGGGTTCGATTCCCCACATGGGCACAATGTGTTAAGCCCATTTCTGGTGTCCCCCGCCGTGATATTGCTGGAATATTGCTAAAAGCGGCGTAAAACTAAACTCAGTCAGTCAGTCAGTTTAATTTTCACCACTATTTTAATTTTCGCACCACTTTTAATAAAATTTTCCCAACACTTTTCTGTCTGGCGAATTATGTGATTTGTTTCTCTCTGGTGTTCACGTTTTATATGTAAAAAAATATGCAATACTAATTATCTGTTTCACATCCTGTAATTGTTTTTCATAAACTTTGTATTCATCCCATGGCATATACATGTACAAACATTGAATATGAATATAATACACATTAATATAGTTGTAATAGTTATGCATATTCAAATAGTAATAGTACTAATGTGTGTCAAAGATGTGCACTAAAGCATCCCCTATCTGTAGAAACAGAAAACTGTTAATGGTCTGGCATTTACATGTACAGAGGGTGAATATGAAACACACGGGTATCTTGGTAATAGTTGCACATATTCAGATAGCAATAATACTATAAGGTGTGTCGAGTATGTGCACTAAAGCATCCACTTTCTGTAAAAGCAGAAAACTGTTAATTTGACAATACCTAATTTAGGAGTTTGATCACAATTTTGAAATCAAGTGTTTGTGTGAGTCGTAGGCCTTTTCTTATATTTTGTTCAATATGGACCTGAAGTTCTTTCTATTCGTAACCCGCCATATAGCTGGAATATTGCTGAGTGCGGCGTAAAACTCAACTCACTCACTCTATTCGTGACCTTTTCTCATTCATGCCACGTGGTAACTTAATTCATATGTAGAATGTCACTAACCACTTGTGATTCTGTGAGAGGCTGTATCCTACCTTGGAGTTAAGAAGAGGAGGATCCATATTTGTTTATCTACAAGGAAATCAACTGAGTTGCTAAGTGTTGAGCTTTAATATAAAAACAGTTTACTGAGATTTGATATTTGCTGAATGGCGGGGTACACGTATTTCACCTGCTGTTCGCCTTTGATAGTACCAATGTGGATGTCTGAAATCAATATAAGGTGCGCCCGAATGGTCACAATAATCAATTATTATGATATGAATATAAAAAGGTATATGTTGGCTAAAACTTATAGGTGTCACGGTACTTTCTTCCATGTATATATTATTAGTTACGGTGTTTGAAAGGGTGAACGGGACTGTAAGACCCTTGTAAATTTCGTATTCCCTGAGCGCAGTCGTAGGAAATACCTAATTTACAAGGGTCATACAGTACCGTGCATCCTTACAAAACACCGTGTAACGAATTTATTACCCTTAAGACCTCATTATTTAGCTTATCATTAAAACCCAACATTCATCTCGGCAGAATGAATCGCAAAACGTTTAAAGGGAGAGAAGTCGGGATGGCTTAGTTTATAATGAAAATGATCGAATTTGAGGTTTTGTTAAACGACAAGTGAAATACAGAAACGTTTTAGTTTTGAGATATTTTCATTGACACAAACAAATAAGTAATTATGGCAAATTTTTTATTACAATTCCATCTAAGGTAAAAGTCATTTGTACAACCAGTGTAGCGTGTCACTCGACAGATTTGAGGGGTGTACGGTACGGGTGTATGGTACGTACACCCGAGCAAATCCGCCTACATGGTTTCGTTTGATTTGGCTACTGACCAACCAGAATTCGACAAATTCATGACAATATGCTAATATATAAAAATTTGAAAATGAGTTCCGAAGAGTGTATAGGCAAGTGATGTAAGGGTTTTCTCAAGATTTGTCATTTGTCTCGAACATACCTTCGTATAGTGAGTACAGTGGTTGATATCGACTATAAAAATAACAGAAACATCAGTCTCCATGTCATCGACATATACGGCGTGTTTAGTTAAAGTAACAGCATCAGACGAAACTTTGTTTACAAATTCAGATTCCAAGAACTTTCAACAGTTTCAATTCCTGTATGAACACCATTTCAGCCTAGTTGTTCAATAAAAGGGTTATGCATGTTGCAGATGTCCACGACTTCTGACTGCCACTCGTCATACTGCTACCACACTGTTGGTCACACAATCACAGGTGAATTAATAAAAAAGGATACACATGTCGGTTACTTGTATCACAACGTTTGACTTGTAATCTGATATCTTGTCCCTTTATCTTCTGTACTGTATTCTATGGTCAGTGTGTGAGTGAGTGAGTGATGGGTGAGTAGAATTAAACTATTCAGGTCTTAGACGTTTACTACTTCCGATAACCCAAATCTCGGGCCAAATCGGGATTCACACCCTATTAGAAGAGCTGTTTAGGAGGGCCACGCAAATGTACAAATGTACTAGCCAATCCTTTAACGATTAACCTCAGTCTTTCACGCAATAAATTTGCAAGGAATTAATGATACAGTAGGTATTGAGACATATTGAACTGAAACCATGGGGATTCTCAAAATAACGCGGCATTTGCTGGAGTTTTTGCAAAAGCACAACCAACATTTGATTTTTCAACTTTCAATAGCGCGGTGCCACATGACAAATTTGAGGATAACCTTAATCTATGGGATATTTTTTGCTAATCGTAGTGGCCTTACATATAGTTAGATATATATCTTCAGGAATCAGGGCTTCACAGACAACATCAAGGCAAAATTTCGGGAAAAACATTCAAACATGAAGAAGGCATCCCTATGGTCACCAACTGAGCTTCTTGATGATCTGGGTATTTTTAGCTGATGAATCTGAATATCTGCTCAAATTGGAAATTGCAAACACATCAGCTTGGCTGAGAAGTTTAACTTAATCCACACCCATTTTCTAATATCGTTAAACCGCAAAATAGCAACTTTACTTCCACTGACTTTTAGCTAAACCACTCCATCTGTTTCAAACAAGGTTGTATGGCAAGAGGGAACGCTATAACTTTCCTGTAGTCAAGTCTCCCCTCCTTTCGAGCAATATTCCAACGGCTTCAGGCATTGGTGTCTCGCTTTCATTACGTTAGAGGTACAATCGAGCATGGCCTCAGTTTTCAAAGTGAGGCAAAAGTACTCAAAGTGTAGAAGAAGCTTTTAAACATTCAAACTTTAGTAAAGATGTTATTAAAGACATGTGGAGAACATTTCCACATTTCCCGATTCCGACTTTTGTTTATACCATATGTTAACGAAAGTGTGTTCCTTTCCGGTGAACAAGTGAGAGCATTTGATTTTGTTTGTGAGGGTGAAACCAGGCTGGCAGGATATGCTCAACTTTTTCGTGATATTCATCCATACATGCAAAAGCCCTATAATATAGTCGACTCGGACAATCGCCTCTCATTTGAAATTTATTATGAATATGGAAGCATCTATTTCATTTTTCGTAGGAAACTAGGAATCCTTTTTTGTCAAAATACCTGGTAACGTCTCTGATACCATTCATGTAATTGTCACTGCTACTATATCATCCATGTGGCATATGCTTCGACACATCATTGTGATTCATTACTCCCTGGCGTTATTTTCTTTTTTTTCTGCTATTGGAGGTCTGGTTGAATTTCAAGCGTAAGTAAATATACACAGCTAAAGTAACGCCCTCGTATGAAGATCAAGATTCACACTTGAGAACTGAAATGTCTGCGACGACTGAACAATTGTGTACCCATGCTAAAGTGCAAACAGTCCAAATGGTTCCAACTTTGTGGAGAATATGGTAATAAACACGTTTACTCACGGTTTTGTATTTGTGTGGCAGTGTTGTGATATTACACGTTATTCACGCACAAGAAAATTCAAGGCCAGATGTTATTCTAGTCAATAATATGTATACGTCAGTGTAAAGTAGTATGCAGTATGTTTGCGCTTACATCAAGAGTCATAAACCCATATTTATCGGTTACAAATCCTTGTGTTGTCTCGTAGTCAAATTATACAAATACTGCAGCTGTACCTGACTCTCGTTCACCCTCAACGCGTGTTGAATAGAACATTATCATATGAACAGTATTATCATGTAACATTTACAACAGCAAAATCACCTCACTCATGAGGCCAGATCCTGTCGGAGTGTTACAGTGGTGTACAGGAAGATTGTAGTATGGAGGTCTTCCATTCCCCCCAAACTCGGTGTCGGCTCGGTACTCAAACCCACCGCCCTTAGAATATGAGAACCCTCAGACTAACTTGGTATCTTATGACATGCCTGTAGCACTCATTTTAACAAATTCCTACCGCACACCTGCATTGGCAAAGGGAAAAGTATTTTCATGAACAACACAAAAATTATATTTTAACCATTTATTGAATCCCTCGGTTGATTAGATATTCCACATACATTTATAACCCAAATAATAAGTCACATGGTGATCACAAGAGAGTGAACGTTACGAACGTAAATTGCGCAGATGTACATAGCGAACGAAAATAAATGACATTTCTTTGTTATTAATAATGTACAAGGTTATCTGAAATGTTTCATATACCATGACATATCTGAAACAGAAGACTGTAGTATATTTGAATAACTATTCAAGTTTATATTTTATTCAGAAAATGAACGATGTGTTCAAATGCAAGAATGCAACATTTCTGTAGCATGATTTTGTCTGTGAATGCACAAAAGAAATCCAGGGCCGAAACAAAAGAATAATTTAACAACACACGGAATTTAGAAGCCTTTATCAGAAAACTGTGAAAATACAAGAGCTGAAATAGTTTTTATTCTTAGCGTTAGAAAAGTTATTATATTCGGTATTGGTAAAAGAAACAGTCCGTCATGTTATCCTTGCATGTCCATAACAGGTGCCCGCCTGTTGATGAGCCAAACGCCAAGGAGAAGACAGACTCCAAGGAGGACGAGGACAACGACAGCCAGACCAATCACTGCGGCTGTTAGATTGATGGCACTAGTCTGGGCAACAGCATCTTGAGCAGCACTCTTCACTGGAAGGAGATAGTTTCATACATAATAATTTGTGTGAATAAGATTGATACATTCAGGGTGTTATGGGCCCTCTTAGCAAAAAGAATAATGTTTTAGATTTTCCTTTTCGAATGATGTTTACAAAGAATACAAACAATGTAATGCACGTCTGGAATAAACAGTCTTGATTATACAGAGAATATTCAGTCTAGAGTGTCTGCCTCACCGATTCCATTGAGTGTAAAAGGCAAAGTAACGGTGAAATTTGTATGGCTGGATCACTGAAAACAAGTGTTCTCCAAGCTACTGAGCATGCCCTGCTCTTCTGATATTACCATTAACTGATTCGTCCGCGTTGATAATGACTTACCCTCCGATGCTGCAAATGGGTCGTTGACTCTGATATATGTCACAACCGTATTTTGTTCATTTGAGTTATTTCTCTCTTTTTACGCCCTACACCGGAACCTCCCTCACTACAGGTTACCTACAACAAAAATAAAATTAAAAATAAAATTAGAAAGTCAATAAAAACTGTTCAATCTGTATTTTACCGACACAATCGTTATATACTAAGAGAAACAAATAAAGGATCACAGGAAAATTCAAGTGTTCATTTAATAATTTCCAGTTTTCATTACCAGCTTTGAATAGCGCTGTGGTCATGAAAACTGGAAACTATTAAAGGAACGTTTGAATTTTCCTGTCATCCTTTTTTTAATTTTATCACTTGTAGATATTCTTGTTTAGAACAAAGATTTAATCCATGGGTGAGTAAGACACGGTCACCCAGATTACACATCATACACTTTGTGTCGTCATTAATCTGTTTCCATGACATTATCTGGCTCAGAAGCCCAGTCATTGACTATCAGTTTCCGTTTTTAATCCACTTTACCCAATATAACAGTAACTTCGTATCATGTACATGTGCACTTATAATACCGCTGCGCATTCGGTCGTTCTGCATCAAGTTAAAATTTAGGTTTTGGCTGCGAGCAATGAATGTTATCGATAGTAAAATTCATTCATTTGTTCATTTTTGATCTAAAACATACCGGTTTGCAATGAAATCGACTTCATTAGATCCGCTGTCTTTGGCTTTGCACGAGAGTACACATATTGCAGCAAAATCTGTTTGTAACGTTGTAATTTAGGAGTACCATGATATCAGCATGTAAGATATATCATAAGATATATATCTAGATTTCTCAGATGATAATGAGACATGGGCCCTCATTAAAGGCATTTCAATCTTTCCATAAATTGAGAACAAAATATTAAACTCGGGCTTAAAAACACGTCGGTATTTCTATAAAGTTACGAAAACAATAAACTTCTTCAGGGCCTTGGATGATGAATATGTTTTAACATATACAGAAGTATTCCTGTGTTACTAAGCAGAGAATGACATTCAGAGAGGTTGTGATGATGTAAATATACATGATATTAAATAACGTATACCAGATGGCAGAATCAACTGTGAATTCCATAACCCTCCAGATCCAGTAGACCCAGTAGCAATAGGGGCGTCAACACCGTTCTTCATCACAACTGTCACGACATTAGCCCCGGCAGGGTCTGAATTAGCGTTCGCTGTAAGCAGTCCACTGAAATGAGGACGTTTGAAAAATTGATGAATACAAAGTTCTAATATGACTTATGATTAAGAAATGTCCTACCCTATTAACATTGGCATACGCTTTTATCTTTCGATTTGTGTGTATCCGGTCAAATCAGGTTTCAAATGTAACGCTGTTGTCTTGAAAGCCAGAGCAGGGCTGACCTGGCTGATTGTGTGTCACTGTTTTACAAAACTGTATATGGTTGCTCATCTAAAAATCCACCAGATGGATTATCATAGGTCGCCGTAGTATAGGTGGGACAATGGTGATTGCAGCCTCAACCACTCATATGAACTGGAAACTAAGAAAAACTTAGCTTTGTTTGTGTTCATACGGTTTAGAAATTACCGTGACAAAAAGTCTTGTGAGACCCCTTTAAACCAGCAAAATAGAACACAGACAAGTCTCTAATATTCAGTTATATGCTGAATAAAACAAGGTTACAATGAATGACAGTACATATTCCTAATACAAATCAATTTGGGCACAAATCAAAAATATTGGGGCACAAATCTAAAATATAAACTAACCAAAGTCTTGATATTTCTGGTAAACAGATGTACGGATTGAAGATTGTTGACACCTGTTGAAAGGTGAATGTAGACGAGTAGTAGGTCAGATCAATGTAGACGAGTGGAAGGTCAGATCAACGTAGACGAGGCCTCGAGGTTCCTCGGGGAATGTCGAACGCGTGAATATCCGACTTAGAATTGATCTTCAGGAATCCATGCTTGCCATAAGAGGCGACTAACGGGATCGGGTGGTCAGGCTCGCTGACTGAGTTGACACATGTTATCGTATCCCACTTGCGTAGATCGATGTTCATGCTGTTGATCCCTGGATTGTCTGGTCCACATCCGATTATTTACAGACCGCTGTCATATAGCTGGAATATTGCTGCGGCGTAAAACTAACTAATTCAGTTAAAACGTCGATGTAAGCAGACAGACGAGCGTAATTCGAATGTAGTAGTCCCAACGTACATCTCAACAACCACCGCTTATATACCTGCAACACAGTTCTGGAGAAATCCAGAAAAATCTACGCCACAACACATTGATCGAATCGCTTCTCGATGCTTTGGCGGAAGCATAACAAAGGGCAGGTAACTAAACGGGTGAAAATACACAGCCTAGAAGTTCATATGCGAGTTCAAATCATACTCGGCGCTTTCAACTTTTGTGACCCATAACAACCAAAAGCTAATTAATGTGACATTTGTATTAACAAAAACACATCCTCATAACAATGTGTTGTTTAATTTCTCTCTCTTCAGCTATATGACGGCGGTCTGTTTGGAGTGTGTCAGGACGTAATCAATCCATTGATTATCATCTTGAGCATAAGATGCCATGCAACCCGTGAAGGTTCGGATTAGAATTCAGCAATTCCTAAGATGCGACTTACCACGACTGACTGCTTATCCTAAGATGCGACTGACAGCCTCGGCAGGTCAGACTCGCTCATTTGGTTGATAAATGCGCCGTTATGATACAATCACCCCCTCGCTCATACTTGTCAGAAAGAAGAGAATCCACCTATTTCATCGTTTTTTCCGGTACTTATGTTAAATAAACCTTGCAATGACAGGCTCATCCACAACTGATGGCCACATTTTTTGTAACATTGAAGTATGTTAATAAGACAATGAGAAGAAATTATACTCACGTTTCTGTAAAGGACAGGAGTTCGCTGGTAACTGTTTTCTTCGCACCGCCGCTGCAGAATACGACCAGTCCAGTCGAGTCCAGTGAGATACAAGGGTTCGCACCGGCAAATCACTGTAAAACACTTAGTGGCCACGCCATCGGCATCCTGAAATGTATTATTATATGACCTCTTTAATTTATTAAGAAATGGCAAATGATTAATATGCATTTTTCAGATTCAGGAAGTATGGTGCCGTATACATATGCATTACTACATCACGTTGTCATTCATCTCTATGAATGATAATTATTTCATGCGAGCATAATAGCTACAACAGTCGTTCCAAACCGTTGTTTCTGTCGGCGGTTCACAGTTAGTGGCATCTGTCAGGGATGCTTCCAGGAAGTCTCCCGTCCAGCCTGTTGGTCCACCGGTGGGCACAGTCGCAGAAAAGCTGTAGGTGCTCCAAACCCCTTCACATAACACGTTGGGGTACCCGCTACGTTGACGTTCAGAATGTGTAAGCCAGCTGCCGAACAACTGAAATCCACTGCAATTCCACAGGAAAAGACTGAGTAAACGTTCCTGTGACTGGTCGTTAGTCAATAGATAAATCACAATCCTAATTATATCACAGCGTACTGTCATTCAGATGCCACGTCATGGAATGAATTGAATACTGTTCACAATGGCAGTAAAACCCGAGCCTGTTAACGTGAACAATTGATGCTTCCAGTGACTGCATCAGGTTTTATCTTTGCCGTCAGAACAGTGTCTGTCAAGGAAGCCATTCGACTAGGTCTCATAAAACCACTTGTTATCCCTATTGCTACACAACCTAAACTAATTCACGCTTCGACAACACTTGGAAGTGATGGGTTATTCAGGCTTAGAATCTACCATATGTGAATCGCTACAGCTTTAATTTATGAAGCATATATTTCGTTCAACACCTGAAGGGGTGAATAAACGAATGTCTCATTTAGTAACATATTCATGACCAAGGTGTACAAGGTACAAAATGTTATACATAGAAAGTCATTAGCTATGTATTTCTTATCAAAATTGTGTCTTATTTATCTAAAACATCCAAAGCAATTTCATTGATAAGCAGAAGATGAAACGTGTTAACTGTCTGATGTTTACGTTGTTGACAATGTGAAAATGGTAAGGTCGTTC